TAATTACTCTAGTAGTTGGTGCTATCATGGTTTGGTTAATTGTGAACATTAACACCTTAATAAGCTTGTCTAATACATTTGCGATATTTATTTTGACATTATAGGCGTTTTGTTAAGACTCAGAAGTTTTTCGTAATTTCCCATATTTACCTACAATGTAGAAGTATTATTTCTATTATTACTACTATTATTATTATTAATGCCTATTAGTTTATAGAAAACACGAATGCGTAAACCTACGATTGCCTGCCATTCTTCGCTTTTCTTTGGTCCTTCATAATTTTTTATCTCCATATTCAACTCATTAAACTCAATCCTACTTACTTGCTGGAAAAATTCGAGCTGAATGCGCAGATTGGATCTTTACGAACACTTATATTCAGCTTAATTAGATCGACTGTAACTCTGCTTACATATAGGGGTGGAAAATACTCTTAATGTCGTAATAACGACATCGAAACTATCAGCGAGCCTTTAATTGACTGAGAGACTTTATTCACAAAGGCAATGGAAATTCTGATACCACTCCTTGGGTTATTTTTCAGCACATTGGCTTGCAATTTATGGAAAACAACCAATCGTGCCACAAAACCCTCCTCCTGACTACCTTGCTCGTATGAACGCATTGAATGGATGCATAGCAGGCCTAGCCGATCGGCAATCTTCAGGAGAGGTAGCGACCGGCCGAATCGGGTCAAATTACGATTCGAATTCTCAGTCCACGGGTGGCACTTACACCTGTAAGTCTGTTCCATTCGCGGGGCGAACTTCAGTCCTCAAGTCGGAGGAGACAATTTCTAAACTTCCCATCAATAGTGCAGCCATGCACCCGCGTCACATTCCTGCCATCGTTAAAGAGGTATACTATTGACATTTGCGTATATTTGTTATTTCCATAGTCATTAACCATCCTTGTTATGAACATATCTAACTCATCTCACCTTTTAGCGTCGGCCACATGAGGTCAGCCAAGAGGTGATGCTCTATTTCTGCGAACTGACTGAGGCTTGTGTAGGCGCTAGTGAAAGCCGGCGTCACGAAGCCTTAGAAAATGCCGCTGTTGACACCGGTCTACAGCCAATTTTACCACACCTCGTCATTTTTATTACTGAAGGAGTAAGTTATTAGTAGTGTGGTTATTGTTAAATTAACTGCAATTGTTTGACTCATTCGCGCTATCAAACCAACGTTTACACATTTTTTCACATTAATTTGCTTCAATAACATTTTAAATTTAATGTAGAAAGAGTGGGTCTCGAAGTTTGCTATTATTATCTTAACTTTCATTTCTTTGATATTTGAAAATTTACTGTAATTCGCATAATTAAAGATTAATCGAAGGTATGACGACCAAGATGGTGGGCCTTTTGTGTGGTATCAGTCTCCTTTTGTTGTATAGATGTTGTTTGACCTTGTTTTCGCAACTTGATCATATTGTTAGGAAGACTTGGAGGAACGCAACTAGTCCGGAGTTTATTGTATGCATGATCATTTCCAAAGTCGGACCGTGAACGTGGTACAATCCCAGACGTTTCGCCGGCATCGTTAGGAAGTCTCGCCAATATCGGCACCACACGACTCGTCAATGAGACAAGTGAAGCCGATCATTTGACCAAACGTGTGCTAAACAGTTGTGATATCTCCCCTTCTGCCCTGGTCTATTCACATTCCCTATATCCTCCTATCATGCCTTCATTGTTACATTTTTTTACCGTGTTTATTTCGATGTAGTGTAGTATGTTCCTTTGGGCGGCATTCATGAAAACCATTCACACTCAACGCTGTCGTTCTTACCCCTTCACCCTTGTGCTGGGAATGTTGTTCAGAGTCTGCCATATTCTGTGCTACTCGAGGCGTTATTTGCCCTAGAGTGGCGAGACTCACTGACGATGCCCATATCTGTCTTTCTTCTCTGGATGCCTTCTGTCTATCCTCCACTGATCCGATTATGATATCTGTTCAAGGCATAATTGGACGTTCTACTTAGTTAAAATCATACCTTGCCAAATAGTAAGAATTATACCGAGAAATGTTTGTAGAAATCACAAATATTATCGATCGATAAGCAGATTAAACTAGATATGGTATTAAATTATAGCTTGCTCTTCTAACTGATCGCCATTTAGAGTTACAAAATAATAATTGGCGAATTTATAACACCATGAGGAAGCTTAGATAAAACGAACGAATATTCTTGAGAATAGATAATAGAGAAGCAACTTTGGTAACGAGTAGGGCGGTTTATGTAAAAAAATGATGCAGGCTCCAGCCAATATTGAAACGTATAAACTTATAAACTTGGCCCTTACAGAAACACTAAAGTGTGTTAGTAGTGGGGAACTTGAAAAATGAAAGATGATTGTGCTTCTTAAGTGCGATACTAAGCCTCCAATTGTCTAAGGTTCACAAAGGGTGTCCCACTTAGTATCATCATTAATCAAAAGGGTTGTGGGGTGCATAAAATATAATGATCTATTTTTGGTCGTCTAAAATAAATCCTAGTATTTTGGTAGTTTTAGATAAAGAATTCACATGATTTTATTAAGCTATTAGATGAGCAAGTGATAGAAGAGAAAAATGAGCTTATAAATTTTGATGTAAACTAGTGTTCCGGTAAATGGGGCGGTACGGGATTTAGAATTAACATTAAATCATCGCTCATAGTTTATAATGGGAAACAGGATAAGCAAGAAGTCAACATTGAGATTGGCGAACTTAGTCATGAATTATATATA